CTGAGCGCCATTCGCTCGCAGTCGTTTTCCCAGGCCGAGGGCAGCGACAAGCTCGGGATCCAGGGCCGGCGTATCCTTCATTGTTTCGACGCGTTTGGGATGTCTTCTTTTTTTTTTCTTCTCGGACAGCTTCAGAAGACATCCAGGAGGCCGACCCCGCCCGATTTTGCACGCGGAGGGCTTCCATGGAGGAGACGGGAAGGTTGTATCTTGAGTTTGTTTGCAGCGAGTTGGCGATGCAGGCAAGCTAGAGTGAGCCATGCCACTAGCAACTATGATGGCACAAACGCGTTCGCATGCACAGAAAGAAGGGCGCTTGACGAACATCATGCTCTCACAGCACGACGGGAGAACGTGCGCATACTGCAGAAAGCAACCAGGCAAGCAACAGTGCATGTAGAAGCCCGCGACGGTGCAGCAGATTTTTTGCCACACAGTGGCACCGCGATGGGCCGCTCGCTAGCAGCAGGCGGTTTTGTTGACATTTACTCACCCACAGCTTCAGAGTGGAATGCGAAGCTGGGCGAAGCAGACACCAGCTACACATGGCTAGCAGGTCGCTGCCCAGTAACTTAAGAGCTGGTTGACATGGGAGTTGGTCTTTTCGTGGATGACGTATGGCGCGCGCATATACATGCATATGCGCCCCATGCACGCCGCATCATGATGCAGCTGAACCACGCCACGTGCGAGCTCCAGGCACACATACAGAAGAACGGCCACTGCTTGAACGCAGATAAGACCAACCACCTCATCTGCATGCACGGAGCGGGATCCATTGAGGCATCCAGGGGCCTAGTTCGTCAAAAACGCGTCTTCGGGGCAGTCTGTCGTGAAGCTCGTGTTCTCGGGCCGATTCTGAGCTTCGACGGGGTACTCAGGGCGGAACTCAAGAACCGCATCAAAGGAGCCCGTGTTGCGTGGAGATCGTTGGGAGAGGTATGGAGGCAGCCCCTTCCACCACAAGCTGTTCCGCACGCTCTTCTTGTGCTTTGTGTGCAGCGCCGCGATCTCGGGCCTCGCAGCATTCGTACTGCCGGCGGGGGTCACGGATAAGTTAGATTCCGTGTTTGTCCGCATGCTCCGCTACTTGATGCATGGCAAAGCTAAAAACGAGTGCGAGGGCCGAGTCAGGACGATGACAAACAGTGCAGTATTCAGCCATTGGTGCATTAGCTGTACCGCGATCGAGCCTAGAGTTCAGCGTCTGAGGTGGTGGCAGCAGATATCTAAGGCTCCACAGAACCACAAACAGGTCCGTGCAGCTATGTTTGGGGCGTTGGAAATCGACCGGCTCCTCGAGCACCCGAGACCTACGAGCGGCGGGGGGCTCGCAGCGCACAGTGCCCGTTGGGCCCAGCAGTTCAGAGACGACTTGGAAGGCCTTGCTAAGGCAGGTCACAAGTTTGCGAGTACATGGACAAACAGAAGTAACCTCCTCCAGATCTTTGAAGACCCACATGCCAGCGAGGAATTCAACGAAATCAGGATAGGTACCCATCGAGACCTCCATAGCCTCGACGGTGCCCGACGAGCAGCCCCACCGCAGAGCGACGATGGCGGAGCGGACGACGACATCAGCATTACATACGAGCACGTGTGCACGCACGAGATGGGGGAGGAGGGCGATGGCAGAAGCTGCGGAATGACATTCACGACGGTCAAGGCACTCACGGCGCACATCACGCACGCGCAACGCATGCGCAACCTGCACTCCATGATCATCAGCGCGAACGTGTGTCCATGGTGTCGCACAGCATTTGCGAGCAGAGCATCATGTCTGCGCCGCGTCATCACCATGTCGAGATCGCACCCGCTGCGTTGCCCCACTCGAGCCACTTTATTTGTATTCGAGCCCGAACAGCGGGATGTGTACGCGTGCGGCTACTGCTGCCGCGAGGACACGAGCATTGAGGAACACCTCAGCCACGTCACTGCTCATTGTCCTGGCCCTAGCGATGTCGTGGAGAGCCACCGCAGGAGGAAGCAGGCCGCGCAGTCAGATGGCGGAGGCCGCCGCGGCGACCCTGGCGCCGCGCCAGAAGCAGCCGCGTGGAGGGCCGAAGAAGGCCACTGGCAAAGAGAGTGGCTCAGGCGACCACAACGGCGAAGAGATCGTGGTGATGCAGAAGCTGGCGCTCAACAACGCGCAGATGATCAGGCAGCTGTCAGGCAGCCTCTGGGACTTCTTCCTGATCCCAGAAGAGCACTCAGCAGTGGCCGCCGCGGTGGCAGCGGGCACGACATACGCGCAGAAGGCCGAGGAGAAGAACAACCAGGACCTAGGGCCTCCGCGCCTCCACATCGGCGTCGACTTCTTTTTGGAGATGGGACTCAACGACAAAGCCGAGGGGACCAACAAGAAGATCCTGACGGAGTTCCGCATGCTGATCGACGCGATGGGCATGCAGGGCTTCGGGCACATCGTCTCCTACTTCAAAGTCAAGAAGGCCTGCAGCGAGGCGGGACAGCCAGAGAAATGGAAGCTCTACCTCATGCTCAACAGCCTCGCTTGCAGCCCGTGGACAGCAACCTGGGAGGACCAGATCAGCGCCATCCGAGAAGGAAATCAGGGGCCGCACGTCAAGATCAGTCGCACCACGCAGATCGGGGACCTCAGGGAAGCCATCGTGGACACACTGCGCGCAGCAGGGGCAGAGCAGATATTCGGAGCACTGCCGCCATCAGGTCTCGAGAGGAAAGTGCAGGCAGCGTTGCGGGCGCGGCAACTGGCGATGGAGGGGTAGAGATGGCAGGACTGAGAGAGCTCGCCAGAGCAGGCAGCCGCAGGGCGATGGAGCTGCTGCGGCGCATGGCCCGCCCGTGACGCCCCCGTGTGATTCGAACAGTCGAGGACGTTTTATACATGTCTGGAGGTTCTGAGCAGGCGCTAGAGGGTGGTGCCCCGTTTCCTTTTTCTTTCCTATTCTGCCTGGTGCAGAGGCCTGTCGGGAAGGTCCCCAGCGGATCATCGGTTCCAAACAGCAGGATCCTGGGCGCGGAGCAAGACACTAGACATGCGAGCAGCGATAGAAGCGCAGCAGCAGTATTAGCGGGACCGGGGGGAGCGGGTGGAGTGGGGAGTGGGGGTGGTGGCGGGAAGACTGCTTCACAGGGACAAGCCCTGAGTCAGGGGCGATTGGCCAGCAGGCCCTAAGCCCCTGCCGCATCCATAGCATTTTTTTCCTCACGGGAAGGCCTCGCGCTGCAGCGGGCCGAGAGGCTAAAAAGCCAAGGGCCCCGTAGGCGGCCCGACGATTCGCCGATCCACCGCGCTAGCAGCAACAGGGCTACATGCAGTAGAACCCCAGACAACTGCCAATGCTTCCGACTCCGACTCTTCCTCCTCCTCCTCCTCCTCTTCCTCCTCCTCCTCCTACTCCTCCTCCTCCTCGTCCTCCTCGTCCTCCTCCTCCTCCTCATCGTTGGATTCCCTATCCCATGACATCTGCGGTTCTCTTCGCTTCGCCTTGCAGCGCGCCAGGCCAGGTTCCGCCGCTCTGGTTCCGCCGGTTCGGCTCGACCAGTTCGGTTCCTTCGGGTTTGTCGGGCGGTTCGGTTCGGCGCTGGTTCGGCCGGCTCGCTCCGGTGAGCCGACGCAGACCAGGTCTGCTCCGATCCGATTTCTATGTCCTGTTGTCGGCCTACGTCGGTCCAGTTTCGATTCCAGGCCGGCGGGTTCAGTGGCTCCGACGTGGAGGAGGCAGGATGGGGAGGGGAAGGGCCAGGCGTGAGGATGGCGACGGAGGCGGCAGCGGTGGCGCCCGGCGCTGCCTGCTCCCGGGTAGCGACCCCCCCCACCAGCGGCCCGCAGCGGCCGCAGGATCCTCCCCCTCAGTTCCCCCTCTCGGGACCCCCCTCAGACCCCTCTCGGGGCTCCCAACAGGGCCCCCTTCTCAGGGCCCCCCTCAGGGCCCCCTTCCAGGCCCCCTTCAGGGCCCCACTCAGTGTTACCCTCGGGGCTCTCCTCAGAGCCCCCCTCGGTGCCCCCTCAGGACTCCCTGCAGAGCCCCCCTCAGGGCTCCCCTCAGGCCATCCTCGGACTCCCCTCAGGCTCCCGACTCGGGCCCCTCCTTGGGGTCCTTCTCGGGCGCCCCCTCAGGGCCCCCCTCAGGTCTCCTCAGGGCTCCTCTCGGGCACCCCTACGGCACCCTCGGGCTCTCCCCCTGCACCTCCCCCTCCGACCCCCCTCAGGGCCCCCTTCTTCCGGGCTCCCAGGGCCCCCCTCAGGGCCCCCACCTCAGGGCCGCCCCTCGGGCCTCCCGCTTCGGCCTGGCCGCTTCGGCGCGGGCTCGGTCCGTTCGGTTTGCACCAGCAGGCCGGCCCTCTTCGCCCGGCTCGGCTCGGCTCGAACGGCATGCTGGCCCAGTGCGTCCGGTCTGCTTTGGCGGGCGCCAGGCCCGTGCGGCCGGTGCGCTTCCCCGAGCCGGCTCCCGGCTCTCGGCTCTCGGCTCGCGGCCACCGTCGTGCTGTGCTTCTCTCTGGGGCCCTCACCGTATTTTGTAGGCACCTCGTCGATCCCGACTTTGGGGCATCAAAGCGCGCATGTGCCGCTGTGACGAGCGGTCTTCGGCGATTTTCGGCCTCTGGGAGCCTTCTCCAGGCCTTGGGGCTGTCAGGACACGGCTCGGGTGGAAACGCCGGCCCGGGGAAAGGGGTCCACATTCTCTCGGGGACACGCTGCGAAGGAACCGCGACGTCGGGGGCCTGGACTTGCAATATCGACACCGAGGGTCGTCCCCTGTCTCGTTCTCGCCTCGCTGGGCCTCCCAGGTCCCGTCCCCGCTGCATCGGATGGGTCCGCCTCGGATTTTGGTCAAAATGCGCCGCATGAAAGATCCTGGGAGTGGCCCCAGACATGTGATGTTTTGATTCTTGCTCAAAAATGCGGTGCCCCCTGTAGTCCCAATCCTTTGCACCAAAACGGCCGACGACCGTCCAGGGAGCATGTTTGCGAAGAGGTCGGGAGAGGCGGTCTCGGTGCCTTGTGGCTCCTCCAGGACTATTTCATCCTGCCCGAGCTGCCAGGTCCATTCGAGGTGGACCCCAAGGAGGCCATCATCGTGGGCGACGCCGATGCCCCGCAGGCGAAGAAGGCCAAGGATACGGTGGTCAAGTCTTTGAAAGAGGCGGAGGAGGTCCTCGCCAAGCTGCAGGAGGACCCCCAGGCTAGAGGAGCAACAAATTGCAGAAACATGAACTTTAGAAGGTCCGCGGTCCGCGCTGATTTCTTGAATCTGCGCTGGATTCCAGCGGCACCGCCACTGGGGTCCAGAGCCGATCCAAGAATTCCGCGCGCACCTCCGACAGTCTGTTTGTTCATGCGGGGTGTTGTTCCTCGACAGGCGGACGTCAGCTACGCGGTCCAGGAATTCGGCATCGCGGACCTGCGTGTGGCCACGAACACCATCAACAACCTCATGGACGAGGCCACCGCGGCGGGCACGCAGCGGCTGCAGCGCTTGATGATCCACAACAAGTACCTCTACGAGGAGGGGGCTCCTCCTCCTCCTCCTCCTCCTCCTCCTCCTCCTCCTCCTCCTCCTCCTCCTCCTCCTCCTCCTCCCCTTCTCCTCCCCCCCCCTCCTCCTCCTCCTCCTCCTCCTCCTCCTCCTCCTCCTCCTCCTCCTCCTCCTCCTCCTCCTCCTCCTCATCCTCCTCCCTCCCTCCTCCACACTTGGACATTGTGAGTACCACTCTCCTCTCTCCCCGGACCCTGTCCGGACGATCTCGGGCCCTCTCCGCGTTTGTTATTTTTACCCCGGAATTCAAACGTTGACGTGCTCTTGTCTTTGTTCCAATCGGATTTCGGATTCCTGCCGGTGCTTTTTTGTGATGTTGCTCCTGCTGCAGCGCGGGTCTCGTTTCCGGATCGGCGCTTTTTGCCCCCGTCGTGTTCAGACTTCGCTCTCGCCCCGGCGCGGGCCACGTCCCGCGTCAGGATTTTCCCTTCGGGGGTGTCCTCCGTGAAAACTGGAACGACATGGAGAAGATTAGCACGGACACTGCGCAAGGATCGGGGAAACGTGAGACTCGAGTAAGCTGGAACTCGGGTTTTCCGACGTTTTTTGACGAGCGCGGCTTGGATTTTGACGGTCCAGTTTTCGTGGGATGTTTGCAGCGGGAGCTCGCGTCAAGTTTCAGTTTGGGCCTCGTCATTTTTATGATGGCCCTGTCTGGCCAGCCCGAGTCCCCAGTCCCCGTGTCTTACGTCTCCCCGAAAGGATGACACGCACACATCGAGGAGTGTATACAATTTACTCCTCTGGGTCCGCGTCCTCTTTCTGCGTCGTCGCCCCCCTCATTTCCCCTCCTCCGCCTTCGCCTGGTCCTCCTGCTTTTCCCGCTCCGCCCACTCCAGTTCCTGCTGCTGCTGTTCGTCCTCGTCGTCCTCCTCCTCCTCATCTTCCTCCTCCTCCTGAGGTCCTCCTCCTTGTCCTCCTGGTCACTCACCCGCCACATCCTCCTATCTACGCAGTTCCCCCTTTCCGATTGCGCATATCACGATGGTTTTTTTTCTGTTGGAGTTCCAGATCGGGTGTGACACACGTCCGCAAATTTTGAAACATCCGTACAATTGGTACGGATGTGAGGGAGGGATGGGATGTCGGATAAGGCTCGAGCGCACCTAGCTTGTCCTATCCCTCCTCCTCCTTCTCTCTTTTCGTCCTCCCCCCTCTGCTCTTCTCCGTCCTCCTTCCCATTTCCTCTCCCTCGCCTCCCCATTCTCCTCCTCCTCCCCACTTCCTTCTCCTACTCTTACCATTCTCCTTCCTCTCCTGCTCCCTATCCGATCCTCTCCTTCTCCCCCTCGTCCCTCCCTTTCCCCCTCGCCCTCCCCATTCCACCTCTACCACCTTGCGAGGATGAGCTCCCCTTCCCGGTCTCCAAGAAGGGCGTCGTGCAGAAGCGCGGTCCCGCTCGCCTTGCACGGATCGAGGAGTCCCTGAAGAGGTCCTTCGTCGTCGTCGTCGTCGTCATCGTCGTCGTCTTTGTCTCCCTCCTCGTCGTCGTTGTCGGAGAAGGCGGAGGAGTCGCCCCCCCCGCCCGTGGTTGTCGTTGTCGTGGTGGTGGTGGTCGTCGCCGCCGTCGTGGAGGAGGTGGAGCAGGATGAGTAGGAGGAAGGCTCGCACTGATAGAGGAGCCTTTGAAGATGTCCTTCGTCGTCGTCGTTGTCGTCGTCCCCCCTCGTCGTCGTTGTCGTTGCGGTTGTGGTCGTTGTCGCCATCGTGGAGGAAGAGGAGGACGCGCGCGGATAGAGGATCCCGTGAAGATGTCCTTCGTCGTCGCCGTTGTCGTCGTCGTCGTGTCCTCTCCTCGTCGTCGTTGTCGTTGTGGTGATGGTGGTCGTCGCCGCCGTCGTTGAGGAAGAGGAGAGGAGGAGCAGGAGCAGAAGGGGGAGGATGGATGGATGGATGGACAGCGCCTTGAAAGGTCGGGAGGTGACAGCACCAAAAGCTTGGGGGGATCGACCCGAGTTAAACCGCCCTGGAGGCTCTTGCCTCTTCTTTAGCTTTAATCCTTGCGACAAGCGCCGCCATTCGCTGCTCGAAAGCGGGGGCCGAGGGAGAGTCCGAAAACGCTCGCGGGACTGAGGTAAACACACATCTCGGGCGTATCGTCCGCCTCTCTTGCAACATTGAGCTGAGACACAGGCAACGCCTTCTCAAGCACAGCTCTCACTTTGGGGTTGGGGCCAAGCCCACGCCGAAAGCGGTTTAGGACATGCAGTCCCTTACGCGACGGCTTAGCGCAGACCTCAGCGAGCTTCACGGCCCTCCCCTGTGTCCAGCCCCCGCATGTTAAACACAGAATATGTTGTTCACGGCAGTTGCCCAGGACGACAGCCGACCGAGGCGTCTCAAGAACCGAGCCCGACACGGCGACGAGCTGAAGCAGCAGCTTCTGGAGAGCAGGAGGCGGGCCCTTGCAACCTAACATGGGCCTATTGGGTCGATCGCACACCACCCAACCATAACGACACTGCACTCCCAGTTCAGACCTCCTCCAGAGATGCCAAGTATTCTGCTGGCGACTTCGGCCCTGGGTGGTACACGCCGCTCGCTTCCAACGCACTTCATTCTTGAAGAGGGGCAAAACTTCGGAAGCAAGCTTAACATCAACGTCGGCTCGGTTTTGATACAACTCAACTTGGTCCAAAAACGTGGGCAAGGGCCGAGGATGGCCCTCAAGGGCTTTTTTGGCATGCCCATCCACGACACGATTCGCAAAACCAAACCTACGATCATCTCCTTCCAACTCCTCAAGGGCAGACAGGTCCCGATGAGCCTTTTACATGGAAGGTCGACAGAAATTCCGTGCCTGCTAGCTCATGGACAAACGCCTCGCACCAGCATGTTTATTGGAGCCCGTAAGCTGTTTCCAGAGCGGCCTCTGGGTCTGACAAATCACAGCTTTACAATCGAGAGCCAGAGAGGTGGGCCGATCTACAACCTGCCCGACCAAGGCCGCCCCCGCATGTTCGGCCGTCGCAGGGGGTTGTGGCAGATCGCCAGGAACAATACCCCGCCAGATGGCAAGGCGTGACTCGCTGCCTGGCTCCATGAGGGCGGTCGCCCACGAGGCACGATGGAGACAGCGGAGGGCCTGCTTTGTGCAGCTGCCGTCGGACGCCATTTCGAGCTCCACCACATCTCCTGCAAGCTTCGCAAGATCCTCAGGCTGCATATTCAAATCAAGTCCTGCGCCGTCTAGGATCTCACAGTTGGCATGGGAGGCGGGAGGGGGCACATCACTATCCAAGAACGTAAACAAGCCACGAGTGAAGACAGGATTATCACTGTGTGCATCTCAAGGGACTGTCGGGCCTCCACAACCTCAGGTCGCGTGCAGGTGTATAGTCTATGGTGCAACGTGTCGCGCTGTCCACACGTGCACATGCCGTCAGTGAGGTATCCAGCATCGCACGCGCGAGCCTCGGTCCAAATCGCATCCGTGGCGCACGATAAAAGAAGGAACTGCTGCTTGCGAGTGTGCTTCTTATTGCGCGTGCAGATACAATTACGAACCAGGTCAAAGGTGGCTCGCATACCGTGCGCGTGCCCGAGCCTGTTCGCAAAACGAAACTCCGCCTCTCTCTGCAGACCCTCTCTGAGAAAATCAAGGAGGAGGCGAGGTGGGGTCTTGCTTATATCTACCATGCAGCCCCAATGGTCGATCCACTGCGTTCCTGACACCACTTTCCATCCAGCACGTCGTGCCGACATGGTTGCACGAGCAAGTGGGCCACGGCTGGACTTCCAATCGCCAGCATCGCTGGCCTTAGCCTGCTCCCAGAGCTGAAGCAACTCCTGGAAAAGGGATCAGGGAACGAGTCGGACTGACCTGGGCATTCCAAAGCATACGACACCATTGCAGAGCGGGACCAACTGCTGCTCGAGTGCCCCACTCACCATGCAAACCAAGTTTGGCCGTCGCACTGGTTCCTTCATGAGACGGCGGCATCCTGCGAGCTTGGGTCCTTCGCACCGCGTTGAGCTCAGCATCCGAGACACCCAAAACCTCAGACCCATACGACGAGGCGGGCGCAACGCCCGTGCGAAGGACCAGAGAGAGACCCTTCTTGGCCTCCTTTTTGGGGGGCTCTGGATTTAAACTTGCCAATCTTTTTAACTCGCACTTTCATTCCCTAAAGACGGGACCGCTGTTTGACACGCGCACGAGCAGCTGAAGGCTTGGCACCTGCACTATCGTCAACACCGAGATATGTGACCGATTGTTTTGCAACCTTGGGCTCAAGCCCTAGGCCGCGCACAACTTCACGTGCAAGCGACACCTCGCTGGCAACGACGGCAATGTTATCATTTGTTACTGCGTTCATCTGCTTACTCGCGTGATAAAATGCACGGCCTGCCGAGACCGCAAGCTGCGCAGCGCTCTGTCTCTGGGAGCTGGAGGTCTGAATCCCCGAAACATCGATGTACGGTGTGAAACGAACGAGAGGAGGCTGGCTGGCAACAAGATCATCGAAAGCCTTGACAGCATGCACATGGATGCTGCTATCATTGAAGCAATTGCCTGCAGGCAGCCCGAAATTAGCATGTGCGACCCCTTCTGGGTGGTGCTGCCTGAGGCGCAGCACTCGAGGAGCCCTCCATACATTGAAAACGAGTTTCATAAATGCAGAGGGCACTTTAAGTTCGAGAAACTTATCCCGAAGTTCGACTAGTGGGATGGTCTTATAATATTTAGAGTAGTCGGCGATAATGAGCACACTGAAGCGGCTCGAGGCAACATCAGCCTCAGCACGTGCCGCTTGTGCCCAAGCACAGTCCACAGAACTCTTCCCCCGACTAGCACACCCCAGTGCCCACGCTTCACCTCCTCCATTAGTGCACCTAGCATAGGCCGCCGCAGCCTCTGCCAGATGCGGTACATACCGCTGTAGAGCACTATGAGCCTATGTCCGGTGGATGGCTTCGGCAGCATGGGCATTAATACCCGTGGCAGTTGTTTGGGTAAGATGCCTATCGCCTCGCAGCACTGCCACAAGCCAGCTAGCAAGTCTAAGCCATCATCGTCAAGCAACAGGAAGTACCTCGGATGAAACTGATCCAAGGACATGGCAGTCGTCTCCGAGAAACTCTGGATGACTTTCCTCACCTCCCCAGGGTCAGCACTGGGAAAGCTGGGCCGATCGGGGATCCAGGCAACTGGTGGGGAGGCTGTGGCTCGCCAGAGCTTAGCATACGACTGCAGCTCATGCTGCACAACAGACTGAGGGTCAGCACTGGGGCCTTTAGGGTCATGCACAACTGTAGGCGTAACAACACTCCGAACCTTCGTGACCCTGTGAAGGCCCCGCGCTCCCCCCATACTAGCAGTCTTGCGCCAATCACTCCAGCTTTCCTGGATTTCTGTCGATGCACCTTTTACTGCAACTGAGACGTCGCCAGCAAGATCTTCGAGAAACTGCTCAACATTTTCCCGAAAAAAACTCCGAACACAACATCTTGCGAGCTTGCTTGACCGAGTTATCTAGCCCGGCGCTCAGACCGAGCCCTGGGTAGTCGTTGTCCCGGAAAACAGCTAACTCGGCTAGCATGGCGTCCTGGGTTTGGTCCGTCATATCATCTAGAGCTGTTAGCTGACCGAGGTGCTGGACTCCGTTCCGAAGCCACTGCCACCCATCAGCTATTAAACATTTTTCGCTATCGTCTGGCACAGGGTATTCAACATTGACCCAGCGCGGTGCAACTTGGCGCCCGAAACTGCCGAAGTTATCTTTCGTGCCCCCAGTGCAAGTACTGATATGCCGTGCCGCGATCTGGGCAAACTTGCCCCAGCTACTGCTGAGCAGGTGATGCACTACCCCTGGATCGGCCTTCTCGTCCCCCGCCAATTCAACACACCGCTCAACCTCCTGGGTTGTACTTTCGCTGGAGGGGGAACATACAACACAGTCACCAACAAACGCATCCCTTTTGTCCCTTTTGAAGCATCTGGTTTCCGCACTTCTCATCCCAGAAATCCCAAACATCCACATGCAAGCAACAGGTCTTCGCACCCATGACGTCGCACGCCTCGTGTTTTCACATGGGTTGTGTGGGATGTCCGGGGGAGATAGAGAGCGAGAGAGAGAGAGAGGGAGAGAGAGGGGGAGAGAACGGGAGAAACAGAGAAAGGGAGAAAGAGAGAAAGGGAGAAAGAGAGAGAGAGGGACACACACACACCCACATATATATATATATAGATAGAGAGGGAAAGAGAGAGAGAGAGAACGAGAGAGAGAGAGCGAACTGGACAGAGAGAGAGATAGCGATAGAGGCAGGGAGCGAGAGGGAGCGAGATAGAGAGAGAGAGAGAGAGAAAAACAAACCAAGACACAGAAAGAATGAGGCAGAGATAGAGACACTTTTCAGATTTAGCTTGTTACAGCTCGATTATTATTGGAACACAATTGCAATTTGGTTGGGGTGGAGCGGAACCCAGATTC